CTTATGAATATAGATGCACAAATTTTCAAGGAAGCACTAGCTGACAGATTTCAGCAACATAATAAAAAATTCACATACCATGATAAAATGTGATTCTTTGAGTTGGATCCAACTCAAAGCAACTCTTCCTTGGGTGTCTGAGGCAGTATTACTACAGAAGTAGATTGCCCAAACTTCCTTCTGAGGAGTGATTGGTGGGTTTGAACTGCCAGCCTTCTTGTTAGAAGTCAAATGCCTGAGGCACTATGCCACCAGAGTTCCCACATTAACAAAGACTACTCCAAAAATAAATGAATAAAATAATACCATTTACAACCACCTCAAATTAATTAAATACTTAGGAATTAACCTAACCAGGGGCATAAAAAACTAATACAATGAAAATTATAAAACACTATTAAAAGAGATCTACAAAAATAAAAAACTATCCTGTGCTCATGTGTTAGAAGACTTAACATAGGAAAATATCAACTCTGCCCAAGCAATCTATAGATACAATGCACTCCAGATAAATTTGCCAATAATTTTCTTTACTGAAACAGAAAAACTAATGACAAACTTCATAGTTAAATGAAAGAAACCTTGAAAAGTCAAAGCAATATTGAAGAAAAATAAACCAGAATTCCTCACATTCCCAATATCAAAACACGTTATAAAACCGAAAATCAAACCCACTGTCATCAAGTTGATTCTGACTTAATAAGTTTTCAAGGTGGTAAATTTTTACAGAAGTAGGTAGCTTCATCTTCCTTCCATGGAGCAGCTGGTGGGTTTGAACTGCCAACCTTCTAGTTAGTTATCAAACACCTTAGGCACTGCACCATCAGAGCTCCTTAAAGCATACTTTATAGACATTATAATCAAAACAGCCTACTATTGGTTCAAAGATAGACACATAGACACATGGAGTAGAATAGAGAACTCAGAAGGAGCTCTGGTAGTGTAGTGTCTAAGGCATTTGACTGTTAACCAGAAGGGTGGCAGTTCAAATCCACCAGCCACTCCATGGAAGGAAGACTGGGCAATCTACTTCCAAAAATATTTACTGCCTCGGAAACCCAAAGGAGGTTGCTGTGAGTCAGAATCAACTTGATGGCAGTGATTTACTTTTTGTTTGTTTGTTTTTATCTATGGACAACTAATTTTGACATGGAATTAAAGTCCAATCAGTGATGCAGAAACAGATCTTTAATAAATGGTGTTGACAAAACTGGATATCCACCTTCAGAAGAATGAAACAAGATCCATATCACATATTACAAACAAAAGCTAACTCAAAGTGGAAGTTTTAAGGGGGGAACAAAAACATAAAAATCCTGGAAGAAAACATAATGAGGAAACTATGGCACCTAATGTTATATAAAAATAAGATAAACGTAACAACAAATGCATGAATAGAAGAAGACAAAGTAAATAAATGAGACCTCATAAAAAGTAATAAACAAACAAACAAAAAACCTACACTTCAAAAGAGTTTATTAAAAGAGTAAATAAACAACAAAAAAAATATTTGGATATGACTTATCTGTTAAGGGTCTAATCTCTGAAATCTATAGAAAACTGCAAGAACTCAAGAACAAAAAGACAAAAAAAAAAAAAAAAAGACACTCACAAAATGGACAAAAGACATGAACAGAATCTTCACCAAAGAAGACATCTAATCAGCCAGCAAATACATGAAAGATGTTCATGATCATTAGCCATTAGAAATGCAAATCAAAATTAATATGTCACTGATGCAAGCAAACAAACAAACAAACAAAACCAAACAAAAGATAACAAATGTCAAGGATGTGGAGAGATTAGTGTCTGGGGTCTTAAAAGCTTACAAATAGCCATCTAAGACATAACTGCAAGTCTCTATTCACCAGGAGAAAAATAATAAGGTAATTAAAAGCTCAGAGAGGAAACAAGTCTATACTGAGCCACAACCTCATCTACCCTAAGACCAGAACTAGATGATGCCCAACTACCACCACTGACCATTCTGATGGGGGTCACAATAGATGATCTGGGAAAGATTGGGAGAAAAATATGGAGCAGAAAAAATAAAATAAAATAAAAATACACATATACACACATGGCACATTTTTATAAATGTAACTAATGTCAATGAACAATTTGTGCAGAAATTGTCAAATGGGATCCTGTTTTGTACTACGTACATTTTTACCAAAACCTCTATAAAATAATGTAGAAATAAGATTTTAAATACCTGATAGGAAAAACAAAAGAAAACATGGCATTATGGATTGAGAAATCAATTTGACATCAATAGAGACATTGATGCTTTCTACTTTAAGGTGAAAATGTATTTGTTTAGAATACGAAAAAGCACAGTCTCCAAATTGAACTCTAACCTTTAAAGAATAACTATTGCCCTGGCTTAGAAAAACACTTCATTATTAATTACAGTTATATTGCAAGAGCAATTTGAGCAAAGTTAAAGTGACCATACCTACAAGTCTAGCTAATCTTTGGTGTATAGTTTGTTATAAAGAGCAATGACTGTGAAGATACAACTCACCCTACACTCTTACCAATGATGTGAGTTCAGGCAAATTCACTCTCTAATGCTTCATTATAAAATGGGAAGACTTAAAGGCAGGGATGTAGAACCAGATGAGGTCCTTAGAGGTCCATTCCTGCTAGGAGGTCTTTGATAAACCAACCTATGTGTCACATAGAAATCATGAAAATAGACAGTTATCCTTAAATTATGTGCCTGGCCTTCAGTCAAATGGCAAAAGAATAACTGACCCATGAATCCTCAAAAACGTCATTAGATAAAACTGAATAAGAGACATAGATAGGTTAGACAACAGGGTGACTGTTTTGTTCTTGTTTTTAGCGATGCTTTGTTCATGGTGATAAG